CCGCTAAAAAATAGACACGCAATTAATTAACCTAGATGAACCGATATGGGTGACCTAGATATTCAAGGCTGTTACCAAGAAAATGATATACGTGATAGTTATCTGCGATTAACAAAAAAACTATAGAAATATGAAATATCATTAGCCTTACACAGTTGGAACTGAAAAACTACTGCATTTACTGAAGATTTTGTTAAGTAATATACTAACAATTAATACATCTGCAGCTAATAACTGAGGTAGGATGGAATACTAATTGACATAGAGGGTATCCCAATTTTTTCAGCAAAACTTTACCAGCATATTCTATAAGTAAAAATAAGAAAAAAATGTTATATAAGCATAGGCTTTAAATACTCCATTAAAAAGTTATAACAATAATACGAAATGATAATGGACTGCTTTCTTCTTCGGTACCACATACATGTAAGAATAGATTGTTAATTCACACTATAATTTCATTTAAAAATGTTTTCCGTTACTATGAATGTAGAACAGGCATCTACGAAAAATAGAATCTGTTGCATTATTACTTTCTTGTTCCTTTTCCTTAATTGCGGGAAATACGTCACGAATCCTTTGCATTAACTCCTGACACGTATTATTTTGTATTTGATAAACTTTTTCTTTCACTGTTTCCCACTAGTAAAAATCTATTGGCGTGATATCTGGTAATCTTGAGAGCCAAGGAATTGGTTCTCAACGACCTATCCATCATTGAGGGTAATGGTCATTTAACCATTGCAGTCACAAGGAAGCAATCCATTATCATTTTGTATTTTTGTTATAACTTTTTAATGCAACATTTAAGAGCCTATGTTTATATAACATTTCTTTTGTAATTTTGCTCATAGAATATGCTAGTAAAGTTTTACGCAAAAAAGTAGGATACCCTGTATATTTCTTTCGACAGCATCATCCATATTTACGGAGTGAAAACAGCACTTATGATTGTAAAACAATTTTCTTCGACATCTCGAGAAATATTCGCTTTGGACAAAATTTTTTAAATACAGATTAATTGTTTTGCAATGATAAATCAATTATAACTACGTACACAATTTACATGTTAAAAGTTTAGCTATGAGTATTAACAAATTTACGCAAAAATATGACATTAATTTGTTAAAAAACAAACATAAAAAATATAATTTCTTAAACAAATCGATATTTAGGAAAACTGTTTACGAAGTTAAATTTATTATTGTACAATAATCAATCTGTGTTTAAATAATTTTTGCTAAAGCGAACTGTGTTTCCCGAAATACTGAAGAGAATTTATTTTGTAAGTCCAACTTTGAGGACTACTTTCACTTCCTAAATATAGAAGATTATAAAAGAAATATATCAAATATTTTTCAATGAATCAAGTATTACCTTTGTGCCAAATTTGATCAAAATTAGCGTGTGAAAGAAAAGAAGTATCAATTGAATAAGCGCAGTAAGACTATAAGATCACTTTTAAGCAACTAAGGACATATTACGCAAATATAAAAATGTGAGAGAACAATTTAAATTAAATGTAAATCATAAATAACATACTAAAAATATTATTACAGCTATACATGAGCACTTGAACAACTATAAGGTTCTAATGGTTTGTCTCTTATTTGTTACATGTGCTCCTTATCATTTTATTAACTGAAATATATTTCCACATTAAAAATTTAGTATAAAGCGAATCTTTAAAACGTTATCTGTTCTTATGAGACAAACCATTTTTTTAAGTGAAATTTTTCTCATCATTCTGATAAATACTTAATAACTTTTAAGGTGAGTGTGACAATTTAAGGTACAAAGTAATTATAATTTTTGTAATTCATACTGGTAAGAATATTTACTAGAGAATTGTTTCTTAATTTAAATAAATAAATTTTAGCACACTTAGTTGTAGGACGTGAAAATCAATTCTATAAAAAATTCAGTTAATAAGTCTGAATGTTCGCGGTAATTTAAAATCTGTTTAGATACTTAAGAAAATAAAACAATGGGAGATTATCCAGACATAAACGATTGAAAATGTGTTATAAATGGAAATGGACGTAATGGTTTAGTTACTTTATTACGGATTTTCTTGAAATCTACAATTCAAGTTTCATTAACCGTTACTAAAATTTTCATTCCTTCATGTTTTACGCATCTGTGTGAACCATAAGTACTAAAATCCACAATACACATCACTCTTGTTTTTATGTTAGAACTCTTAGTTCTTTACTGACATTCACCTTCTTACAAGCTTAAGACAAAGACGTAATCAAACCAAGCAAGAAGCAGATACTTATAAAACAGATTAACAAACCAAAAGTATAAAAAATAAACTTTTCATAGAAAATATTTAAAGAATTTTTAACAGAAACCTTTATTTTTAAAGAAACTACTTTTAGAAATTGTAATATATTTATTCAAAATAATAACCATCAAATTATGGATATTTGACCTTCAACTGTCTCTCGAAGACAATATCTAAAACAATAGGAGATTATTCTATATTTTTAACTAATTTCTGCACAATCTAACACACATACTCTTTATTGATGTTTTAGAATTTAGAATATGAAACAAAATTTAATAACGCAGAGTTTGAATAATACAGAAATTGAGTAACATGCAGTTAGTACGATGCAGGACAATGAAACACAAAAATGTAAGTTAATCAGTGAAAATGTACTTGTAGTTACTCTATTCTATCGAATGGACGAACACATAAATGCGAAGTATGTCATTTGTAAACGTATTTAGTGGTACTTTAAAAGTACTTATCTACCCCTTTACAAATAGATCGCAATAACGAATAATTACAAGCTCGATGCAACGTAAACATAAAGTAAGTAGAAATATTAAAAGTACAAATTAGTTTCTCAAAATTAAAAGTATAGCAATTATAATAGCGTGAACTGTGTTTCAACTGCGTGAATGACTGAAGTAATATTTATTAACTATGTTATGAACGAGAATAATTATTTATAATTTACGAAACAAGATTTAAGTAAAGAAAAGTGAATTGTACAGTACTATAAGATATTTTAGTTTTATTACAATAATGTTTGCAAATGTAAGGCACAAATTATTTAGCAGTGTTCGTTCTACAACTACTTAAAAGTCTTAAATTTGTCACATTAGTTTTTTACTCAATTCCTCTTTAAAAATTCGTGGAATACACAAAATCAATTTGGTAATTAAATAAAACTATATAATAACAAATATGACAGTACTATACTAGGAAATTTTAACAGAAAAAATAAAATACGAGTGATTAAATACTGAGACAAATTGTTTGGAAAAATTATTCATATCTCAATGTATTTAAAATACATAACTGTTAATGGTATTAAAAAATAATAAGTCATGATCACGAACTCCGGATATTAAAAATTCTGATTGCATATTGCATATCGTGTTTCACTGAACTCGTATTAAAAACTGTTATCTATTGCTGAAAAAATTAGCACGTTATGTAGAAACATAAACATGACCTTCGTATCTTCATAATGGTTACACTTAAAGTACATGTTTTCAATGCAATCACGCAATATAACTTTGTACGAACAAAAAAGAAAGCTGCTACGTCAATCTACCGATATTATTCATTATCATACACTTATCATTATTATCAAATAATAATTAAGCGCAGCATATTTTCCTTTGTTACCCTTGCGATCAACATTTTCTCCACGATTTAATATAAAAAGAAATTTTTATACATGACAAAAAAACATCACAAGAAAGTACAACAGGCGTGAACGAGTCTGCACTTTTAGGAAACGAACATACCAAAGAATTCAGCCCACTTGATTAAAAATAACGCGAATCTTTTTCTCTCTGTAGGTCGTTACAAGGATTCACGGCGATAACGTATTTTTGACAATAAGGTCATTTACATGATGCGTCCACGCTATGTCAAAGAGCTTTTTTTTCCTTCAACTCGTATTCGTTTTAAACACGTTTTTCGAATGTGTTTGCGTTACGCCGACTTCGGACAGATAAAAATAGTCACTTTACACAGGGCAAAATAATATGTGCCTCAATAATTGCACAAAATAAAGTAAGCATTTCTGTAATAAATGTATTTTAGTTTACGTAATTTTTAGTTGCCTGTTATAATTAGACCGCGGATGTTTATACAATTTTACAGTTTTATAGTTTAATGTAAGAAAACAGAAATTAAATAAACGTTTGTGTATATTATTACACATTTTATTAAGGTAGAAACGATATGGAGATATGTTTGAAGTTCAACAATTTTTCTTCTTTATTATGTTTTTGCACACTTGTTTACGCTATAAATCCGCAGTCTAGTTATAACATATACGAAAAAAAATATCCTGCTTTAGAGACAAAATTTCACGTGTAATGTAAATGTTTAAGTTATTAAACAATTTTGTAATAATGGATGGCAAAATATGTGCCATATTTCATGGCAAAATATGTACCATGTTCAGATGGCAAATATTTTCATAGCAGAGATTTAACTATTTGATCAATACATATATGTATGTAAATAGTTCATAATATAAAATAAAAAATTTATATTCTATGGTGCATTAAAGAACATTAATACAACCTATATAATGTTAAAAAAAATTAATTTTGGGTTCTATATTTCTATATACAACTATTGCTATAGCTGTTATACGAACTTATTTATCATTATTGCCATTTTCATATATTATATATATATATATATAATTATAAACAAAATATAAAAGAATTCATTATGTGAAACTATTCTTCCAAATAGTCTTTAATATTATTAGTATTAAATAGCAATGCCACAAACTATTTATTTACATAATAAACATGAAAATAATAAAATTAAACAAATATTACTCTTATAAAACTAGTTTGTTCTCTCATGCATGTATACTGACAGAATGTTTATGTTATCTCCATATATACATACTACTATATGGAAATACAACATGCTGATTCATATTTTAATATGAATATAAAGTTTAGTTTGGACCCAAAATTTAGTTTATACGAACAATAACAAAAAATACCTCTTGGGTAAGTTCCGCAGTATTAGCTGGTTCATCAGGACTTTCAGAAGAAGTTGGTGTATCAGGTGACGTTGAATTTCTACTTGATTCTGTCAAAATACTGGGTCCCGCTATGGCAGTATCTCTTGTTGACTCTTCAATATTTAACAAATATGCATGGATATCATTTAATCCGGAATTCATTCTGTTGTATCTTCCTAATGAATTTAAGTCTTCAAATAAATCTCTCTCATAGTTTAGAAGTACTGAATCTAGATTTTTTGGGTGGACGAACATAGGACGATGAACTATTGTATGAGCATCAGTATGCCACCCAGATCCATTATTTAAATCCAATGAACCTACACCAATCGTTTGAATATCCAAACCAAGGTAGGATTCTGGATCTACTCGTAATAAAGAAAGTAGCAGCGCGAGCTGCAACAGTTCTTCGCGATATAATTTCTTTAAACATAACATTGTGCCTTCTGTAGATTAAAGCACTTCCACTTGTTGAATATATTCAAAGTTCTTGATAAACTACTGTACTGTCACAGAGGTTTGGTAGTGATAGTACATACAAAAACTAAATAAGACGTCATGATGAAAAAGTAACTCATGTTGAAATTTTAATTATCACTTTAGATTAATGTCAAACACTTGGTAGTGTTTATATAGCTTCTTATGCTTGAATGATTTACATCACACAAAACTATATGTATTTTGCTAACACAGAATTCAAAACAAGTCTTCAGTTCTTCTTGTGATTGAAAATCACTCTTTAATTTGTGTTCCCTTCATATAATCCAATCGAGATAGGTTTTGAATGAAGTTACAAAGCACAGTTTTCAGAGCTGTTGCTGGAGCAACTTATTCGATAGACCGACAGAATGAAAATAAAGATTCAGAGTTCTCTTTAAACAAGTATAGGTCAGTTACTCGAATACAAAAATAACCTCAAAACACACACTAGGCCACATCAAACTTCAGTGCACGCGCGTATATCCTACGCATGCCTCAAATTTCGTTTGACAATTCCAGATAGCACTTGTTTGAATTACTACCGACACTTTTTTTCCACTGACACACTATGAGAAATATCATAAAAAGTCAAATTCAGTCTACTAGTTGAAACTGACAGATCCACAGATGATACCGGGTCTGGAACTGCTTTAAATCTCTTCCTGATAGCTATTCGAGGCCCGCGGCAAGCGCCAAAAACCTCTTTCATTAAATCATCTTGCTTCCATGATGTTATAATTCTGATGAAGATGACGTTAAACTAATGTAATAGAGTTCATTTCACAAAGAACAAACTTGTACACCTTGCTGAGAGAGATCGCTTGCGATATGTGACTCAGCACTCACTCCACAATGTCGTTTTTCAGGGCCGCCGCAACTGCATGCTTCTCCCTTTTTGCTTCTATAGACACCAATACGTTCAGCCTTAAACTCACCAAATTTAGATACCTGACGCATGGTATTTATTATTATTGTTTATGCGTGTTCAAATTTTACAACATATCTGCTTTAGAAATTTTCCGCAAATATTATATACAAAGAAAATAAGTATATGTATACAGATGGTTGTAATACATTTAATAGTTACAACATTTAATAAGTCTAGAAAATATTTAAAAGTGCAGACCTTCAAATTGATCATTTTAATGCGCGTTTATAGACTTTAATGTATATCTCGTTTATTAATTGTAGATAAAACAGTGTGAATCAATTATATACACCTTTCGATTGAATTTGAATTGGAGAATCAAGATACTATAGGTATTGAAATAGATTATGTATACCTTTATGTAACGATACACACGTGTCTGCATCTTCACTCATATTCCAATTGGAAATTATTTTGTTACGTAATGACTTCTATAACCTTTTTTCACTTCTTCGATTTTTATTTTATTTACTTTTGAATGTATTAGAACTTAACTTTAATTATACTTTGCTTTTCTTGAAGTAAACGCACTAACGTAATTGTGATTTTGTAATACTCGTTATATATATGTATATTTGAAAACTAGCTAATATATGAGTGACGAATAAAAAAGTGAATTGAGTTTCATAAAATATATATAATTATATGTTCATACGTATATAAACATTATTTTTGTGTAAATATAAAACTTATTTATTAACGATATTGCTGACTCATTTTCGTAATCGTCAGCAGAATATAAAATATGTTAAAATTGTACAAAATTTACGTATGTAAATAACAATGTAATTATTTGTTCATATATTTATGAAAGTAATTTATTGTTGCAACATATAAGTTCATATAATACCTACTTTAGCTGCACTTTAAAATCATTGTTTAAAGAGTGTCAAGAAAATATACTTATGTATGTAGTCTTAATATTTCTAACTATAAGATTACCTATGTAAATATATACTACAAATTTGGAACTGCATTTTTAGAAAATCAGACAAAATAAGACGTGAAAATGTGTGTTTCACGTCACAAATACATTAATAAACATTGTTCAATGACATGTTGATTGAGTTTATGGGTGAACAGTGACGATTTTATGACACAATAAATGTCTTCGTCGATAAATGAAATCGATCGGATCGGCATTTTTCCGTCGGTAACAATACCTCGGAACAAGAAAAAAAAAAGCAAAATTCCATTTTGGAGTGGTAATTTATCGAAACGCGTAACGTATTGATTATTGACAATGTACATTTGTATGAAGCTGATGAAACAGAAAATAAAAATGACAGTACAGGAAGTTTGTTTTCAGTCACGTTGACGTACTGTGCGCGGTTGCCACGTGTAAAGTTAATATAAATCCGTGAGTAGTCTAACAACGCATACATGCACAATGTGCTCACGCGTCATTTATTATAACTTTCTCATGTACTACGACTACGTACCTCACGCACGATTTTCATTGACTTTAAGCCTGCTCCCTCGTTGTTAGGTGACAATGATATCATCCGTGGTAAATCTTCCGTTTGAATCATAGTGCCTTTTCTAATTTTTATACTATAAAATATGCATTAAGTAAGTGTTAAAAGAAATTAACTAGGCAGCAGTGAAGATTGACTGGAGACTCGATTCTAGTAACTGTGAGTATAAAAGTGAAACACATTACGTCACTGAACTTCAGAAGCACTGTCACTTTGATGATTCACTTTATAAAGGTACATTATAAATTATCTTTTAACGGTTATGGCATATATTAATTAAAATTTTACAGTAAATATGTCTGCGACAGAAATTCTCTGCGCTATAATGAGGTTATTAGGATCAGAGCGAAAGCAACTGTCTGACGTTCCAACATGAGATAATTAGAATTTTTCTCGTGCTACGTCACTGTTAGCCATTACCGCGCTGTTTAAACGTGGCGCGAAAGACTCCAACACGTGCTTCACGTTATATCGATGTTTCCGTATCCGATGTGCTGATACGCCAGCGCATTTGATTTCGCATTTTGTATAACAATACCGAATAAAATATTTAACGATACTTAATTCAAATTAACTTAATGTACTTCACATTTAAAAATGATTCGAAATTACAAAAAAAGTATGAGTGCCTTAATAAGTACATACTTTATTCTGTAATATATGTTAAAGTTGAATACACAAAATAACCAAAGATTTATGTGAAATTTAAAACAATTTATATTAATTTTCATATTTCACTTTGTCATTGTAGGCCTACAATAAATTACGTTATTGAAGATGAATATTAAATTACAATACTGTGCAATAAAATCATGACCGTTAAAGGTACGTACAATAAGGAAATGGTAAATATTTAGATGATTATATATTTATTTGGAAATTTGCTATTACATATTGTTGTTACTATTATTTATATTCTTAATAACAGAGACTTCTACCGAAACGTAATTTTTACCGGTATTTTTCGATTGTATCTTCATAACTCTCGAAATACGAAAATACCGGTATGATATCATACCGCTATATGAAAGTACCGGTATATTTATTTAAATTTACCGGTAATTTTTTCGGTTTTATTATTATATTACAATTATCAAGATATTTATAAGTAGTTACTATGTTAGCGAAATTAGATTGAAACTGATATATATAGTACTGCAATTGCCGTAGTACCGAAACCATAGTAATTACCAGCATTTTTCTGGTACTATGTATACTGTGATCGCGAATGAAAAAGCATATAGTTACCAAAGTTACAGTCGTCGGAACGACGCATCGATCCCAAACGCCAAGTGTCGCGACATCAATCGGTACCGCCTTATGGTGCGTTTAGACTTTTTTAGATGATATCACAGACGGTTGCAAACTGGATGCTACGTTTGTGTGTATATTATTTCTCCGAGTAATTTTAGTTATCGAGTCGCAATAATGTAACGTTTATCTTTGAGGGATAAGTACAGACTACAGGATAATAGTCCATGTGTAAACGGACAAGTTCTGAGATATCTGAACAACCGGTAATTATTATTTCGAAATATACAAGCTTTAATTTTTCCATAGATACTATAATTAATTTTTTTCACTGTAATTGTAAATCCTGCAATGGAATTTCTAATATTGATTTCATACATATGTAACATTCGTCTAAAGTCAAAAGTGTTTTTAAAGAATTTACTTTTGAACAATACATGAGAACACCTGTAAATAGAGCAGTATCTAAATAATTCTTTTTTTATTGTTATTCAATTACAATCGATTCTAAGTCTGTATATGTTCCCCAAATTTATTAATGAATGTTTAGGATGTTAGGTGAAATTTAAAATAAAAAATGGATTATTGAGGAATTTTAAGTGTCCTTTCATACATAGGTTCTGTGGTTATAATTTCCTTTAAAACGTGGCAAAACTTCAAATGTTGTAGTAAGAAGAATATTAACCTAATTTTTTGTTGAATGAGAATTCGTTACTTCTTAGGGACCTGCCTCACAATACAATGATCCCGTTAGGGACAAAACAATACATCGTCGTATGAATCCTTGTTAGAGATTCTGAAATAATTGTAATTCTAATTTGCTATCTCTATTCTTCGTTATTGTTATCGGTTCTTCGAATGTGGAAATGCAGTTATAGATAAAAGTTGTAACTACTGTATTAGCTGAAATATGAGAGAAACTGAAATAGTCTCGAAGCAGTGAGTGAAATAATTAATATACACACTAACACATTGTTAACGGTATACTGCGAAACGAATCAAGCCTTAGTTCCCGCACATTTTCGGTATACATGTACATACGTGACATATAAATGCACCTATTCAAAACAATATATTAATTTTATTTAATGAAATCTTTTATTAAACATTGGTTTTGCACGCACAAAATGCGATTTGTGCCTTGCGCCTACAATATTTGAAAACTGAATAAGTATTATTTTTGGTATTCGTGAAAGTCAGCGCTGAAATACAATAAAGAAATGGTCTTAGGGACACTGAATGTTTTGCACTTGATGTCAAGCTATCCGGGAATCCGTGTTTATGACGGTTTTCTGACTATATTGACGGCCTAAGACGCGACGTTTACTGCGATCATCGTCTACTAGTCCAGTCAAATTAGACAGAAATACATATAAACAATCTGCGGA